AGGAGGAGGAGTAGTAGTAGGAGTAGTAGTAGTAGTAGTAGTAGTATACGTACGAGCGCACGTACGTACATACGTAGTAGTACTACTGCCACTACCACTGCCAGTCTACTACTACTGCTGCCACCACCACTACGCTGCAGGTGCCGCGGCCGCCACCAATGCCAGTATTCATACCTGTACCACTACCACTACCACCACTGTTAGTAGTGGATGTAGAAGAACGCAGAAGCAGAGGTAATCGCATCCGAGGCGTCGGCTGCCGAAGCCGGGCCCTGCGGCATCCTTCGGCTGGAGTGCGCGCTGCTTGGCCTCGAAGCTCGGTCGCTCAAGCTCTGGAGTCTGGTGCAAGGGCAGCCAAAAACTGTTACAATTGTAACATAATCTTTCTCATCGAGTCGTAGTTACAAAAAACATCGCTGCCAATGCTATGACATATTGAGAAAACCATGATTGACTAATGATGATGGAGACCTTCTCACAGCAACACCCGTCTGCACTCAGAATCTTGCAAGCTCCATCTGCTTCTTCTTGGCCATTTCTCTGGCCTGCGAAAGGGCTGGAACACAGCCAACCCCACTCCCACTGCTGTGTTCGGGTCAAGATCAAGTCCATCGAGCTTGGTCTGCTTGGCATCTTGCCAATCAACCCCTTGGCAGGTCGGCCTCGTTTATTTTGCTCTGTTCCACCATCATGTGCCTCTGCACTGGCATGTAGTCCAAATTTGAAGTTCAGGCGCGCGGTATCTGCGATGAATTCTGAAGCAGGCACTTGCAATTCTTGTGCTGAGTTCCGGTGCAACCTCTCTTCGTGGCTGTCCATCTCCGTGTAGGTCTTAATCTGGGAGAGTGTGACCTCAGAGCGAGCTAGCTGCACCAACTTGTCTCTGGGCCTTCTCATATGGCATGGGGGGGAACTTCGAGAAAAGCCCAAACCAAATTACCCGACAGCAGGTGGTGTACCAGCACAGTCCGAATCGAACACGGCTATCATCTCAGCCATTGGCACTTTCGCGGTAGCCGAAGGAGATAACCTGCCCGCACATGGCGACAACTACAGCACAGCGGCATAGACAGACGTTTGTGGTCTAAGGTTTTGCGGTTGTGCTTGAAGTTAAATGGACCCTGCACCGTAAGTCCGCATGTCGCAAGAATGTAGGTCGGGGCACTGAAATTGGAAATCATTTCACTCCTGCTTTGTCCAAGCCATATACATATGGTTGTGCGCTGTGTGTTCTGTCATGCCCCCCAGCATTCCACAGAGGAGGGTGGAAACTAAGCTCGAGACCCAAGCCGTTCCAAAGGGAGGGGCGAGGGGGATGAAACAGGCAGGGACCGTTCCTAATCCCTAGGAGGGGGATGGCCGTGTACCATGAGCTACAGTACCGCACAGGTCGGGGGAGAGCCGAACTACCACACAGGAAGGGGGTAGAGCGGAGAATCCGTTCCACAGGCCGGGGGAGAACCAATCCGAAGCACAGGAGTGGGAGGGGAATAGCCAAGTGCATGGCAGTGGTAACTGGTGTACAGCAAATCACATATACACCATCAGAAAGTACCTCGCGAGTGTGGCAAACCCCAAAAATACCACACAGAACGGGGGAGTGTGGAGAACCCGCTCCACAAGCAGAAGGGGGGAAGCAAACCCAAAGGCAAGTGGCAATGGCAAACATATACCCCACATACTGCGCGGATGGAGCACAGCCAAATACCTTCACCTGTCTTAGTTCTGCAGCTGCACATTTCCATTATACATTTCGTACGCCTGCGAGCACCGTTGCTACAATCGCCTCATCGAAGGCGAAAACTATGTCGAAGGCGTGTTTGAGCACCTGAGCAAAGAGAAGGTTCGCAGCAAAGACTGTAAAAAGCAGCATCCGACGGTGCAATGCTGGCACTCGCAAAGCCTGTGATCTCTCACCCGCAAAAGCAATGGACTCCAAACGGTACTCATCCACTCCGCTCGGCCGAGTGGTTCCACGTTCTCCTCGGAGACCTGGATCTCGCAGCAGTCCTGCACTACCTGAAGTATTGACGCCGTGAGTTGCAGATGTCGCTATACTTTTCGCAGTGCAGGCAGACGTGGCTACGAACAGCCGGGCGAAGCCCAAACCCAAACCTCGCGCTGGGAATCAAGCGACCGAGCCTGAACTTAATCTGAACTGCAAGCCCTGATTTGGTCATCCACGCCTTGGCCAGCAGCCGCAAAGTTTCCAAGTCCTCAAGTACATCTGAAGTCTGGCTTGCGACAGCCAGTCTCATCAACTTCGACTCAAAACGTGCGACAGATCCATTCTGCTGCGCTGCTGCGCTCCTCCAGGATGTTGCTCGCCTTGTTTGTAATGACAACGAGGTTCAAGGCCTCCATGGGTTGGTAGACGTATCGGACAGACCTTATCGCGGGGCATTCGCCCACTCAGCAAAGTATGGGACTTCTAGATTCTAGTCTATGTCGCTTCGCTGCCCTTGCAAGCATCTTAACTCTCTCGACCTGGCCACAGGATTCGTCCGAAGCTCAGTCGCCCGCTCCGTCTCGACCTGGCCACAGGCCCGCAGGGTATCGCAGGGTGTGGGACGGGATGGCCGGGGGCCGAGGACCCATTCCGGCCAGGGCCCGGACGAAGGTGTGGTCCTTGCCGCTGTCGACCAGCTTTGTGAAAGCTCCCAGCAGGCCCTGGCATAGACGTAGACTTAGCCGACAGAGCCCTTTCACTTCGGCCCTGCCTCGATCCGGAGCCGAGTCATCTCCACAAACTGCCCTGGCATTGCACAGGACTCACGTGACTGCATGGCAGTGGGGTGGCGAGCGGCGAGCAGAGGTTGGCTCGAAACGCACTGCGTGCTCAGACCATGCAGCCCAACATGGCTGGCTCACGTGCTACCAACGTCTTATCCTTCTTCACGATGGCAGCTGATAGCACCACCATGATCCCTGCAGAGGCACGACTTGCAAGCTTGACATGCAAACACCAAGCTCGGTGCCATTCCCATTGACGAGCCAAAGCTACAACCTCCAACTAACATCGCATGCTGGCTTTCCCGTCGCAGAAACCATGAACTGCTGCACTAGCACAGGTGGCAGCAGCAGCAGCAGCAGCAGCAGCAGCAGCAACAGCAACAAGAGCACTAGAAACTGTAAGAGCTTCGCCAGCTGCAGAACGACGACAATAAGAACAGACGAACCAGCACTACCAGATCCAGGCACAACCACCGAAGCCCGCCTACGCGGCACCGGAGCCTGGCATGCAGGCAAAGGCGTGCCGAGGTTGACAGAGCAGGACCGAACATCTCAGCGAACCATCTCCGATTGAATCCGGACCTTCAGTGGGGGAACCCCAGGCCCTAGGATGCCCTAGGCTACAGACCGGGAATTCGGAAGCTTGGAGTCCAAAGCGGGCAGGTCAGGCCTGCGCCTGCAGCGCAGCAGACCCCTGTGCCCAACCGAAAAGATGCCCCTGAGGGACTCGAAGCCGGCGCAGCAGCGAGGAAAGCATCTCGTCGTGCCGTGTCGTGCCGTGTCGCGCCCTCACATGCCCATGACAGATCTTCAGCTTGAACTACGATGAGAGGCAAGTAAAGCGGTGTAGCGGAAATCAAATGATCTGCCCAGCTCGGCTCTTTTCGGAGCTTCAAGCTTTGTCGAAGCATCCAAGGCGGCACTTTGTCCACAAAAAAGCTTGGGAAAGGGTGGCTGCACCTTCCCCCGAAATCATTAGCCAAATCTCAAGAAGAGCATTCACTCAGAGTCTAGCGATAGCCAAGGCGACGTTCGAGCTCGGCCACCTGACGGCAAAAGGTGCATAACACAGGTAACTGATCAGAGACCATGACCAAGCGGTAACTCTCGAGACGACGCAGCACCGAGTGGATTTTACACAGCGCCGCGCGACCTCGGCCTCCAGCGCTGTCGTCTCGACTCGCAGGCCTGGCAGCACTGCGGTGGCTTAGGCGGGTCTTCGCCTCTTCGTTCGCGAAGCTCCGGATCATCGTCGTCATCACCACCGTCACCATCAGCATCACCACCAGCATCATCATCATCATCACCATCATCACCAGCATCATCATCATCATCATCATCGTCATCGTCATCATCGTCATCATCATCATCATCATGGGGGTCCCAAGTTAAACAGCCTCGGGAACGGATTCGACTGTAAGTGGTGATCACTTCGAGCCTGTCAAATCCAAAGTAACGCAATGCACAGCAGACCTTACCGCTACTAGCTACTCGCATCGCCTAGCAGTGTCGAGTTACGAACTGAAGCTCTGAGATCGGCAAAACACCGAGCCGAGCGAGCCTACAACATGCTGGGAAACACGTGGAAAGCCCTCCGTCAAGATGTCCATGCGATGTTCATCCCGGTGAACCGCCTTGCCTTCGCTGGGGCCAACCCCTGCGGCTGCTGCCTGGCTTGAACAGCTTGCAGCAGGCTCCGGAAGTTGTTTCGCTCACATCTGCACGTCGTGGAATGCTTCCGCCTTCCGCCCGAAATCTTAGCGTTACCAGAGCCAACTGTGTACCGAGAAACATAACCGAATCATCGAAGTACGCCTCTTCTACACTGGGCGGCTCCTGCTTGTGAGCTTAGGAAACACCTGAGACCCACACTGCCGCGCGCTGCGGCGACGTGTGCAGGTAACCTGCCCAAAATGCTTGAGAAGTGTGGCTCACGGTGCACTTGTGAACGACTGCAGCATACTGCTGTTCCCTTGTCTGCCTGGGGGAATGGCCTGAACATCAATCGGCGTCAAGGCCGAGCATGCCTTGGCACGAGAGCTGAAAAAGCAAATTCTCTTCAAGCTCGAAACGTCGTGCAACACAATGAAACTGTTGCTGCTAGGAATGCAAACATAAACTTGTCGAGGCGTCGACGATTTTGCCGCCCGGGTACTCCACGAACGGTCCCTGCGAATGTGTCACTTCGACTAACTTGGTCTCTACGTTGTTGGCTATGGGCATTCGTGCCTCGCACCGGCAGCGCAACAGCAGTCGTGGGGCAAAGAACAAGCCCCCGCGTCTCCTGCACAAACCGACAAGTGGCACATGTTCATGTCTGCGGGCATTCTGCCCCTTGTTTGCACAGCTTGACGCCATTGGCAACTTTGCTTTGTTTCATTAAGGGCAAGCATGGGAAAGAGCCTACGGTAAGAACTTGATTCCGAATTGCATAAAAAGATCTGTATAGCCTTTTCATTGTACCTGAGACAATGGTCCTGCAAGAGCCAGACACGCAAAAAGTGCCTTAACACCCGTTGCCTTTTTGACTTCGGAAAGTCTGTCAGTCTTAAACGCACAACCCTTGAATACTCAAAAAGACACCCTCTCGCCGAGCATTAGATGCCGCTGAGGGGGCTTCGACTGCGTATGACATATTTACGAATACTTTAGGATGTCGGTTGTTGATTCCAAAATTTGGTTGTTTTAATTTACGAAAATGTATGAAACAAAAAAAAGATATTCATGAAAAAAATGCTACCCTGGCCTCCTAGAACACATGAAAAAATACGATTTGTACAGTAATTTGTGATGAAATACGTCTTGTACCCAAAATCACACGTGTGCTGCAGACAGTCCGTGAGTACCACCTAGCAGTTGTTAAAGTGCTCGAAATTGGCCACAATTTGCAACAAAACCCAGAATGATTTTTGCCCGAGACCCTGGTCTTTTCGAAGTGAGCCCAGTGGCGCGGGCACTCGATGCCGGAGTGCGGCTGCCTGGGTGCGGCAGACGTACCTGGCAAATGAACGACTCAAGCGATTCCTGACGCTGACGAGATTCATGTCGTGTCCATGCCGGATAAGCCCACAAGTGCTGCGAAACAGCGCAGATGGGCACAAGCCGCCAGAGTGGTTCGGCCCGGCTTCGTCCCTGTGGCCGGGGCAGGGCTTGCAACCGTGCGTGTACTTCACTCCGCAAACATAAACATTCAATCATCATGGGCTGGTAATTATTATGGCAGCGAGTACTACTGTTTGGAGAGGGATGTACCGCAAGCAAGAATTGTTTTACTCTCTCTTAGGTTACAGCAAGGAGCCAATGTGCCCAAACATGTCGCATCGACGAGCCCAAACCCAAAAACTGAACTCAACCGGATGTCTGCAAATCAGTGTTAGCAAAGGAAAGGACTCTATAGTCTCTATAGAAAGAAAGCCTGAGCATGCCTCAGCCTAAGCCGCCTCTGCTGGGAGGCAGACAGCGACTCAAAAGAACTCTCGGTGAAGAAAAGGCAGGGAGAGAGACAGAGAGCGAGCGAGCGCGAGCGAGACAGAGACGAAGACGGAGACCGCGAGAGTGAGAGAGAGAGAGAGCGAGAGCGCGAAGCGCGGGAGAGAGGGAGCGAGGGAGCGAGGGAGCCAGGGGGACAGGGAGGAGAGCGACAGATAGGGAGAGAGGGAGACAGGGAGAGGGAGTGGTAGAGAGAGACAAAGAGCGAGAGAGAGAGCTGCTCCTGACGCGTGTGGCCCCACACACACAGACAGACAGAGATCCACATGCTTGTCCATTTGTTGGGCGCGGGTACCCGGCAACTGGTCTCGCCTGATTGTCGCACCCAGCGAGTACTCTGTGCGATCTCCCGCCCAGATGCTCAGGAGGCGATTGCCCACCTGCTCAAAGCTGATTCTGTGATCCGATGCATCAATGCACCATGACATACAGGAGATTGCGCCAATGTTGTCAAGTCTCCGGAGACATTGCTTCGGGCATGTGTTTTAAGACTTCAAAATAACAACACCCATTCGATGCGAGACAGTGGGGGTCCATGAGACGTTTCATGTTGAAGACGTCTGACAGGCTACTGTAGTAGGAGAAAAGCAATGCACCATTCTAAACCCAGCAGGGCAAAGCAGGGTAGCGCAGGGCACCCGGGCAGCCTGCATGCGTGCGAGACATCTGCAAACATAACTTGGGATTTAGCCTTCTTACGGGCTACGGTGCATGGCTGTTTGCCATCGGTTTGCTTCCTCCTCGGCCTCTGCGTGCTTACTATAATACTGCTGGTCGTGCCGGCGCTAGCGCGTAGCGCGAATAGCAGCCACAGCAGCAGGAGGAGCAGTAGCAGTAGCAGAGTGAGACGACCGGGTGCGGGTCTGTGGGGGGTCCGAAAGGCGAGCCCTTTGCCATAGCCTCTTTGGGGTCTCTGCCTAAGACATCAAGCCGCAAAGGGGTAGTGCCGGAAGACACCCTGATACACCCTGCTTCTGTCCCCTGCTACATGCCTTTAAGTTCCGACTTATCAGAGCCAAAGGCCCGCCCTACAATGCGCTTCTTTTCTTACTTACCACAAGCTCCTGAAGAGCTGGCTAGCTCCAAGCATGTCCGAGGTCCACCTTGGCCACTACTTTGTACCCAATGCCGTTGAAGTCTCGAAGCCTGGGCTCGCGCTAGGTTGGAATTCTGGAGGGAGCTGTGGGCTGGAGCTCTCGGCCAGAAACTTCGCTCACCATGAGGTCTATGCTGAAACTTTACCATCCATAGCTGAGGCCCTCAGGCCCTAAGGGCAACCCGACGGGGCTGAGCAGCGAATCTCTCAGCCGGGCAGAGTTGACCCGGAAGTCCTGGGACCAGGAGTCAACGGCTGCTCTGGTTCACGCCTCGCTTCGTGGGTTTAGCCAACAGAAGCATCCCTGCTGAGATAACTCTTCGTCGAGTCCTCTTGCCCCATGCGATCCCCCGAACCGGTCCTCCACATTGATAGACCAGGCAAGCAGAAGTTGCTCCGCGCCATCCATTGGGATTAGAAAGGGGCGAGGGGGGTGGACGGGTGAAAGCGTTCGGGAACAGAAGCTGTGTGGATGGCTTGGAACAAGGCGTGCTGGACAAGTAGCTAAGGAGATGTTTGCCCAGTGCTTTCTGAAGGAGCACAGCCTGAGCCGACAGACTCGAGCAGATTAACTGCGACTGACAAACCCCAGCCCCCAGCGCAAACTGAAGTCGACATGCTCGGGCTCCTCTACAAACGCTGGAGACGTTGAGGTGAGGTGAGGCGAGGTGGGCAGTCCAGGGGCGGCGGGAGCAGGGTCTGCGACTGAGAATTGCCGGAAACGGGAGATCTCGCACAATGGCAGTGGTGTGTGGCACAGCATCCTCGCTTTCGTCGCTTCGTGCTGTTGTTTTTTGTTGCTGTTGCTGGTCGTTGTGTTGCTGGGGATGGCTCTTTAGGACTTGCGTCGGAGCAGGCTCGTGCCTCGGTAGATGCTAGCAGCGTCACCGATGCCTGCCGCCTGTCGACGCGTGTCGGGAGTGGAGTCGACTCCCGCGGCCCGGGGCTGCCGCGAGCTGCGTGGACAATGGAGGGGAGGTAGCCCAATCATGACCCCTGCTCGAGACTGGCGTCCGGAGTATGCAGTACTCCCGCCCGCCGCCCTCTGGGCTGCCTGGCACTGTCACTCCGTGTTGGTCCTATCCTGCTGATGGTCGAGGTGCTCGTCGACTTAAGATGAGGAGACCCTCCCCACACTTCCGGGGTCCTCGGCGACAAACCAGCAAGGAAGAATTCCCAACACGGACCCGGAGGACTGGAGACGTTGCTCGTTCTGTGATGCATCGAGAACCAATGATGACCTCATCCGGGAATAACTAAACTGTACGGCCACGAACAAACTGCCACCGTTGCAGGCGCCGGCACGCCCTGTCACCTGCTACAAAACCTGACAGTCTGGCAAGAACTGCGGGTGTGTTGATCCGGCGCAGGCACGGTACGTTCCTCTCAAGATCTTTTCGAGACCCTAGAAAACCCTCTGTACACATTTGATTCAATGGCTCTTAAATGCAACAGGTCCATCAAGGCATGAAGCTACAGAACTTGAGAAAAATGCTCCACGAGGTTCGCAGAGGCGGAGAGGAGAAATCACCTGGCACTGGCAAAAGAAGGATTGTGCCAAAGGCTGTTCGAAGCTCGGCTGGGCTCTCGTCTCAGGCTTTACTTGGCTAGTCTCTGGTCTCCGGGCCGGAGGGCCGAATGAAGATGGCCGAAACCTCCCAAGCCCCACCCCCCCCCCTCTGCCCAAACAGTCTCAGCGGCTTCGCGTACTTGTTCTTGGCCAGGGAGTAGATCAGAGTGCCTCCCCACTCCCCCCCCCGCGGATCTCCCGAGTCTCTCTGCGTCGGCGTCTACTGCATTTGTGGGCCAGGCCTAGGATGGCAATGCTGCTGCCCAGCACGCCAAGGCCCGTCACCGGATTCCGGAAGACGAAGATGGCAGTGATGATGATCACCACCTCTGATCATCATCCGCTGGGGGCTTCTAGGATGGGTTTAAAAACTTGCAGTTGCTTCCCGTGGGGAGCCCACCTCCCCGGTCCCGCCGTCCCGTCACATCCCTGAGGCTCCCGGCTCGCTTCATGGTGTTGCACACGGCGTGGGACCTGGGGAGCTGTCCCGCAAGCACTGAGACAGACACTACAGGCTGTGGAGAGGAGACAGAGGAAGCTACAAGAAACATCTCGACCCGTCCTGCCAAAAAAACCTCAAAACCGAGAGCCTGTCTTTCAGCCCGGTCACACTGGGTCCAGCTTGCCCAACGCGAGGAATGCCACCTCGTTGTACATGTAGTAGTAGAAGCCACCTTGACACAAATGAGTCGCGGCTTCATCTGCCGAACTCATGAGTTCGGCATCGAAAACCTGTGAAATACAAACAACAGTTACTGAGTTCTCATCTTCTCTGAAAGGCATGACTGTCAAGCCAAGCGGCTAAGGATCATCCTGGGAGCAAGGATGCTTGGATCCGCACTGGTACACAGCTTCTAAACCAAAGAGACCCTGCACGAAATCATAATTCTCGCGGTGTGTGCTGGCCTTCTGGCTTTCTCACTGTCAAGTCAGCTTCGCGAAACAGCTCCAAGTCTGAATAGTGCGATTGCTGTCAGGCTTCTGCCACATGAAGGACATGCCTCCTGCGGAGTAAGCAATCTTGAAGCCTTTCAGCATGGCCTGAGGTTGCTGCACTTGGCGAGTGTCTGACAAATTTAAAATGCCACACATGGCACTCTTGCAGAAAAAACGCAGTGGGCCGCGTGGAATTGAACAAGCCCCGATGACCAACAAAGAGGGAAGGCTGTTCGTTCCAAAGAGCGCTTGGCCCCTCGATGAGAAGGGAGATTGGGATCAGCATGAAGGTCGCCATGATGGTCAGAACCTCAGGTTGCCATCGAGTCATCGAGTACTCATCGACCTCTGAGACTTGATCATAGAACCAAAACGTCTCCTCCTTCCTGCATGGAGGCCTTAAAATGGCCAGCCACGTGACATCTCCAGACCCCGACTGCGGGTCTGCAAAGGTGAAAGATCGAAAGTGCCCTGTCGGCTAACTCTACAAGTTCATCTGGCTACGAGGCACATTGTTCCACACGACCCTTGGATCAACGTGCATTACGGCAGTAGCTCTGATCCAGCAAGCTCCTTTTGGCCTCTTGGTCAGCCTATATGGGAACTGCAACTGCAGGAGCAGTAGGAGATTTGAGCAGTGTGCTGCATCACTTCATCTGGGTCCTCGGCTGCATACACGTTCGCTGAGTCCATGTTCTCACCTCGTGGCTGCAATGATTTCTGCAATCGACGACTGCACTCGTCGGCTCAACCCACGTCTGACCAGCCACTGAGGCCTTTGCCAATGTCGCCCCCGCTCATGACCTGCCGCTACGACGCTTTTGCCGCGTGGCTGGCATCACAAGTTCGCACCCGCTTCTTGCACCTTCTTGCTGTAGACTGCGCGGGATGCAGATCCCAAGTTCGAGCCCATGGCCGCCCCGAAGCACAGCCTCAGATGCTAAGGTGGCGAGGTTCCTCGCCTCGTCCGGATTGGCTTTCATCAAGCGGAAGTTCGGCCTGTCCAAGAACCCTCTGGTGCTGCGCAAGCTGCCAGTTGAAGGACAGCTCCGAAGCGCTTGCCAGGCCAACACCACCGATGATGGGAAGCCTGGGCTGAAGGAATTCAACTTGGTCTTTGCCTCTCGCCTGTGTCTCTCTCTGTCTCGGTCTAGTGGTGGCATCTCTGCACCGGCCAAGCCAAGCCGGAGTGTATCAAATTGCAACTGTTCGAACCGAAATGTCAAGCTGCAAACCCTGTCTGAGACCCAAAACGCTCACCCAAAACCCCGAACCCTGGCAAAGCCCCAAGAGTGCCACAAGGCCAACCCTGAAGGGATATCCTGTCATCTCAGTGTCCGTTTGTTACCCCGACCGCCCGGACATGAATTCGTCGCCTCCTGTCGAAACGTTCGTGCCAATATCCCCCAGTGCATCGGCGTAGATCAGATGAAGACACTGAAATCGATTCGTTACATCAATGTTTCCGACCGTCATAAACTTTAGATCACCGAGCATGTTCTCGTGTCAGGCACATACTTGATGAATCCCGCATCTAGATTCTAGATAGTCTTCTGAAGTTGAGTGCGACTTCGTGTAAAGCAACGCTGGAGGAAGCACTAATGGAACCAGCCACCCAACGGCTCATTCGCCAAGCAGCAGGGAAGCGTACACTTGCCAAGGCATCACCTTCGAGACCAAATCTCAGGCAAGTGCCAGAAACACGAATTAACAAGGGGACGTGCTCTGCACCCAAGCGCGGGCATCGTGCTTGAATTGCAAGCCGGCCCACAAGCGACACTAAGCTGAAAGCTGATGAGAGAATGTGCGCTGGCCGTTCGACGCGGCTTGGGGCTTAGCCGCACATTACAACATGGCAGGATGTTCGCGCGACAACGAGCCAAAGAAGGAACACCTCAAAAGGAATACCTCTCAGGTGCGCCTGAAATACTCGTGACACTCCACATGGATTCGATAACGACCGCTCCGGCATGGAGTTTCCCCACCAAACCGTTGATGTTTTATGCCCCCCCCCCCCCGCGCTCCCCCCGGCCTCGCCGAGGAAGGCGAAGTTCAGGAAGGAGGAGACCACCGGCTCAGAGGCCTCGCACGCTTTCAGAAGCGGGCCTGGGCTTCGCATATATTTCTGCGTGGCTCGTTTCATGGCTCCCAAAGTGCCTGGAACCGATCACGGACCCAAAATTCGCAGATCAGAATCCCACTGCGAGGCTCCAGGACGTGCCTTCACGATGTGGCCAAAGGAGACCGCCCCAGCAAAGAAGGCGATAACCTGAGAGCCGGGCTGGTTCAAGGACTTGCTCCTTCGATGCCCATACGCCCTAGGGTCCTGGCCGCGCCCACGTGCGTCGCCAGGTGGCCCAACCTTTGCATTGTGGCATGGAGAATCACGTTATGCAGCTTAGAGACGCCTCGGTCTCGCTAAAGTGTCTTCTGTCCCTCCTGTCCGGGCCCCGCACGCGGAGGGCGCCAGCGTCACGGCTTGGGAAACGGTGAGCTTCGGAGTCTGCAGGCACAGGGCCAGCAACGAGCAGCAAAGCTGCAGAAGGCGTTGGCTGGAATGCGATCTTCAGGCCTTGCGGATGCGCAGGATCCTCAGGTGGTGGGAATGCAGGGGGATGGTGGGAGTAATCAATAGGTCTGTAGGGGGGAAACCTCGTCTCAGCTGAGGCTCCAAAGAGGCACGAAAATCAGCCATCCGAAGGACATCTGCCAAAGTGCGCACGCCCAGGGGTAGGGGTACGAAATCCTTGGTCACCAGGACATCGGACCATTCTCACCGGCGCCAGCTTCCATTTTGCCAAAGCACAATGCTTTCTTGTTGTAGATGTTGTAGCCTAAGCGGGCGAGGCGGATGACTGCGAGTTCACTGGATTAATGCTGCCCACTTTTCATGCAGCCACAGCCGGGCATGCATGTGGCATAGGCACGGTGTGAAAAAGCTTCTTTGCTTCGTGCAACGCATGATGTGCAAGAATGCCTTCCGACATGGTCATCGCTCATCTGAGGCCGAGGCCAATGTTAAAGGCATACCACAACACGATGTAGATGATCACACCGAACTTGTCCTTACACGGGCACAGGGCAGTCCACGACCAAGGGCTCATGGGCGGCAGCTGTTTTGAGCTAGTCAATCGCAAAGCCGCAAAACCAAGGCACCATGAAGCTCTTCTCCTTCTTGCTCTCTGTCGGCTCCTTTCGTACAACATCAGGAACGAAGAGCAGATGCTGGAAAACACGGAGCAAAACGTGGCAGTGCAGATACCGCTCTCCAGACAGGTACGATTGAGGCCATCGACAGACAGGAGCTCAATCTCTCCATCCCCTGCTCCTGCCCCTGCTCTTGCTCCTACTCCAACTACCGCAACTACTACTACGCCAACGACCACTACGTTCGCCACCACTTCCATGGTTTGCTTGTTTCTACGACGCAACTCTTCACGATGGACGCCTCCGCTGCCGCCTCCGATGCCTCGGAGGCTGCTCGCATGGCGACCTGTGCGCTGCCCGTGAGATGGGGTACTGGGACACGGCGTCGTAGTATCTTTACTCTGTTCCTGCTCCCAAATATATACTGTAAAACACATGATAGGCTAGAGCGTGATAATGGTTCGGATGGTGCTAGTAGGCTCATGATGGACATGTCAATCACGATAATATGAACAACACGAAATGAGATAAGACCGTAAGCATGAAAACTCTCGTCTTTGCTTCTACCAACAATCTCCACGATCACAATCAGAGTCCATGAGACTGTAAACCAAAGGCTGATAGTAGATAGCAACAAAATAGCGAACAGGGAAACAATCAAGATACCGTCCCGAACCGTTCCGAACCGTCCCGATCCGTTCCGAGCCGTTGAACCGTCCCGAAGCGTGACAAACCGTGCCGAACGGAACGTACCGGTTCAGCTCGGGACGATATGGAACACCTCACAGCAGCTCCACCCGACAGCGGAACCCTTAATTCCAAGAATGTTTAAGACTGGATTTGCACCGCATGTTTGATTCTCATTACACCCTCTTCAGGGCTCTTGGGGGCTAACCTCCTTGAAGTTAACATAAGCATTCCCAGAGCTTCCCAATACATACATATACATACATATGCAT